TAGTGGTGAACGCGTCATACTATCAGCGACGCTCGTCCAGGGGTCACTTGCGATACTCAGCTGCTCTTCAGGAGATTAGTGTAGGCGTAGACATTGCAGAAGAGCAAAATATCATCCTTTTGCTTTTCAATTCAATGAAGTGAAACGAATGCTGGCCTGCCAAAATGACGTCCATCAGTCACCGCGAGGTACCGCAGGCGGAGGAAAAGGAGCCTCTAGATGCGCATGGATCTGCATTGACACAACCGACAGCAGACCTCCATGCGTGGGGAGATGCTCCTTTAGGAGTTAGTGGAGGCCATGGAGAGCGTTACTGGAAGCATACTAACGGTAAAGGGGACGGGTGGCGGCAAGCTAGGAGGCTTCGGCGTCGAATCGGCTGGTTTTTGCTGTATGTGCTCATTCCCGCTATAATCATTTCAGTTTTGCGGGAACTGTGCCGGGCCAACCTGTCCACCTCTACCAACCGAGCTAGAGGAGTTTCGGCTCGCAGGCTGTCGGAGGGCGATGAAGGCACCCATCGAGACAGTTCTATAGAACAGCTCATAGAAGCATGTGCAGCAATAGAGGCTGACATGGGATTACCCACGCCCCAAGAAAGAACTCCAGCTCAAGAGTTGGACGCAGCTGAGCAGGTGGCAAGGATCGCCTTCTCCTTGTATGCGGAAACCGTAGCATATGAGCAAGTCATGCACCAAACGCCGCAAACAGTCCACACCAGTTTAACCACCTTGCCGCCTTCGCACACCAGTTCGGGAATACATTCTCAACACCAACATTTCCACGGGTCAGTGAGTACTGCAGGCCAGCAGCCTGCTGCTCAACATCCCCAACACATAACTACAGGCTTGACAACTTCAGACCTTCAGCCTGCAAGCCACCCGCATGAACCTTCGGCCTTGCCCCCCCAGTTTCTGGGTGCTCCTCAGCATCTCCTGTCCGGCACCCAGCCTCTTCTACCAGAGTCATCACATCCTGCGTGGCTCCCCCAGGGTGCACTTGCGAGTTCGCAGCCGGGTTTTGCATACCCCCAGTATTTTGCGGGTCCTCAGCCTCCTGTTGGAGCCCCTCAGTCCGTCGGTTTGCCTTCTCAGGTTGCAGCGTTGCTCCCTGAGAATGCTGCACAGCGTGCCCCAAGGAAGCGAAGCTATTTAGAAGGTCCACACGGGACATCTCAGGCACTCGATCCGGATTCCTGGCTGGATGTATCCTACATGCACAGCCCGCCGGAACGACAATGGCAGAGCCCTGCATATTTCTCGCAGTATCCCCATGGAGACCAGTCTGCGCCTCCATCGAGTG